CCTCAGCCTCCCAAAGGCGCGGGATTACAGGCTGAGCCACTGAGCCCGGCCATAATACTTTTTTAATTACGACGTTGGGACACTGTTAAGATCATCACTTACATACGGTGTTCTTGGCGTTAGCGGATGTGAAGATTTGCCTCGGACTACATGGTCTCAAATAGTCCTGCTTCCCTGGTTTTATTAGAACAGGTCTGGGGATATGCCACACAGAAAGAAAGTGCAAGAGCTTTTCATGAGTAAAGCAACTCCAGAACTGTTCTAACTTTTATTTCTCTTAGCTGTGACCTGGAAATCCAATTTGGTAGGTTTTAATTGGATTCCACACAAATAAAAAATTGTGAGTAAAATAAGAATAAGCCCTGTTAAATGGAAAGTCTAAAAGCTTCTATTACTAATCAAGTGTTAAGCCTTTACTTTCCTCACCACCCCCTTGCTCCAAGTTTTAAGTTTATTATATCCTGGTTGTTCTCCATTTTCCAAAAAATTTTCAAATCCAAAAATATGACTTTCAAATGAGAAATGTTTTGGGCCACGAAAAAATGCTGAACAAATGCTAGGAGGCATTGTACTTTTATTGTAAATGAAACTGTTGGATAGAAAATTCAAAGAAGAAAAGAGCAATGGCCATGAAGTATGAAGAATTGTCTCCAGAGCTGATCTTTCTTGTTGGTGACTTCCTTCCCAGTAATTTTGTCCTTCTCAGATCTTCAACTCCACTTGTGGGGTTTGATGGCCACATAACCCTGAATCTTATAGTTCAGTGCTCGCCAGTCCAGGATATTGGGTTTGATGTAGATACCCTGAAAAACGAACCGGATCTCTTCTGGGGACAACACAGAGTCCCACATGTACAAATCCCCAATCTCGCCTACAAAGGACTGGTCCTTAACAAACTTGCCTCCATAGGAATCCTGCTTCTGTCCCAGGACAATCTTGGGGTGAGTTCCCACAGAATAACCTTGCCTCAGTCCCTTCCTCACCAAAGGCTTCCCATTGACCCAGAGCTCAGCAATGCCTGAGGAGGACTCCCAGCTGGCGCAGAAGTGCATCGGGTCAAGGAACTGCTCACAGACCCTGGAGAAAATCTCGTTACCTCCAATGATAAATCTGTACTCTCCAATTCTAGGCTTAAAAATGACAATTTCATTGCTCTTGGCCTGGATGCTGTAGGAGAAGAGGCTGTAGCCACGGGAGAGGTCAGTGTAAGCACGAAGGCATACGGTGAAGTTCTGCAGTGGTTCCTTCAGCTGTGTGATCAAGCTCACATGAGCATCATTAGATTCTTTAGGAAAAACAAACATCTTTCCACTCATGTCTGTGAGAGAAAAAAATGAAATAATCTTCACCCAAAATGTGAGCAAAAAAATCATCACAAATTCAATCTTGTATTCAGCAAAGTTGTCTTTCCTTCCCATTTTCTATCCCTCCTGTCCCCACCTACCCTCTCACACGTACTCATATACCCCTGACTTCCCTACCTGTCTGAGCAAAGGCTTCCAGGATGCCGGTGAGGACAGAGACCCAAAGCATCAGTTTGTCCATATTCCTGGCCTAGGGCTGTTATAGTAGCAGCAGTGACCGGATAAGAGTGTCAGGCAGCACTGTGGTTGTGTCCACCCAGCTTCTGACTCAGTTATGGAGTCACATTCTTAGACCTCAGGCTATTCAGGTTTTATATTTACCTTGGGTGAGGAAGGGGGATGGAGAGCACCAATAATATGTGAATGATTTTCCAGGCCTGCTCCTTGGTGCCAACAATCAGAGTTGCTGATGGGGAAGGAGTGGTGAGGCTCTGGGTTGGAAAATCAATGGGAGTTATTTATTAGACACAAATGACTGCTAGAGCATCAACTCTTGTGACCTAGATTTCATTGCTGGGAAGAGAGTGGTTGCAGAGCTGCAGCTTATAGATGAAATGAGGGATTGGGCTGGCTATGTTAGCAGGACGTCAGTCAGCTCTCCCTTCTGTCTGTGGAGTATGTGCTCTTCCAGGTGCTCCTGAGCTATCTGGAGGGACTTCTTGAGCTCAGGTCTCTCGAGGACTGTGGGAACAAGGCCTTTTCTTTCTTTTCTAGTCCTATAAAGTAGTCTTCTCTGTGTAGGGAATTCTGAGATTCTGCTTTTTGCTGAAAATCTACTCCCTCCCCCTATTAATTTAGTATGATATGACAGTACTTTGCTAAGGAGATTCAGAAAAATGGAGGACATCCTCTCTGGTTTCTGAATAATTGTCCTAACCATCTCTTACCTGTCTTTTTCTTTCTTTCTCATAATTACTTGATCTCCCAGATACTCATTCACAGTACTCAAAGATCTCAGCACATAACTTACAGTTAGTTCTTTTCTGCCCCCAGGTCTTTAAAGTGAAGTTCAGTAACCATGTATGGTGATACTTTCATAACGTTTATTCATACATGCATTCACTAAACACAGTTTTTTGTGAACCTCTATTGTGTGCTACAAAGTATGTAGATTTTGTTTTCATAACTTTCCTGATGGGCTATATCCAGTGATCTTCATCTCCCTATAGTTAAATGGTCATTATTGGAGTTATAATAACTCAACCTTGTTCTTTTTCCAAGATTTCAGACTTGTAAATCAAAAATAAAATTTGAGCTCCTACAATCAACTGAACAGACCTGCTCTGGGCCAAGAAAGAATTGAAAAACTAAATCCAAGGCCACAGTGGGAAAGGAGGTTAGACATATCTTGTTTGGGTCTGGAAAGACAAGACATCTGCAAGTGGGGTTGAACTTTAGGTCATAGGTGAATTCAAAGATTTTCTCATTGGCAATTGATAGAGTTAAGCTCTGTCTAAAGAATATTAATGCTATTCAGTTTTGCCTAGAACTCTACATGCCATTCCTTGTAGAGTTCTAGGCAAAACTGAATAGTATTAAAATAGAGATCATAAGATTGACAACACAGACTTTGTGACCATAAGGTACAAAATTTCAATCTGACTTTAGTATAGGGCCACATGGCAGATAGCAAACTCTAAAAGAAACAAAAATATTTTACCCACAAATATTTGTTTGATGTATTTTGAAGTGACATTGCAAAACCATCCCTTGGGGAAATTTGCATCTGTAGAGAACACCATTTAAAACATATAAGCTTGCTACTAGGGGCGTTATGTGCATAAGAAGAATCTTGACTTCCACAATTCCCTTTATCTTAGCTCAAGCATTTCATTTACTGATTTAAAATTCTTTAGACAGAGCTTAACTCTATCAATTGCCGATGAGAAAATCTTTGAATTCACCTATAACCTATAAGTTTGCCCCCACTTGCAGATGTCTTGTCTTTCCAGACCCAAACAATGTAAGTCTCACATTTATTGATTTATGGTTTTCCTTGTAACTTCTGTCTTCCTAAAAATATAAAAAGCCAAGCTGCAATTCAACCATTTTGGGCATGTGTTCTCAGGATCTCTTGGGACTGTGCTATGGACCTAGGTGACTCATATTTGGCTTAGAATACACCGTTTTAAATATTTTAAATATATTTGGATATTTATTATCCCGTTTATTCTACTTCTTTAATCCTATTAAACTGCTCTGTACCTTATTGTGACTAATTCTGGCCACTCCCTTTTTCCTTTTTGCCAGCATCTCATCCTCTGTTCTTCATCTTTTCTTCCGACCTTCTTGGAGGGATTTTTTTGATTCAATAACTGCTACCCAAGCTACCTATAATCTTATTTCTCTTATTTTAATCCTCAGAGCTGATCAGACCCAAACTGTCATGTTCTCAAAGCAGTTTCTCATATTGTTTTTCCTCTGAAAGTCCGAGTAAAGTTTAGAGTTGGGATTGGCCTAGGCTACCTTTTGAATTTTGAGTGAGCCATTCGTAATTCTTTCCCAATCCACGGATCTGGCTTTGCTTTCTCCATAAATCTATTGTGTGGTGACAGTCTTCTATTTATGCCCTGGGTCTCTCCTTTTAAATACTTTGACCCATTCTCTTCTTTATAACTGAAGTAGTTTTTCCGCTTCTAAAACTCCAATGTTTTTTTTTCTTTTTTTAAAGGGTAATATGACCATAGACATCTTCCAGTGGTTCTTAAGAGTCTATTTAACTTGTCATCTCCTTCATGAGGTTTTTCTCAATCTTCTGATAAATTGGTATATTTCCATCTTCTGAATGTCATAGTGATGAAGTACAGAGGCATTGGAATCAGACAAACCTGGGTTCTAAACCTTGCTTTCTCATTTTCTAAATATGGTAACTTAGGCAAGCGTTCAAACTTTTTGAACTTACAGTTTGTTGTGTATGAAACGGAAATATAACCATTCACATTCATGGGGTTTTAGTGACTAGTGATGTACACCGTGCACTTAGCAGAGTGCTTTGTGCATAGTAAGTGCTACAGAATCATTATTGTTATTATTATGACGTGTTTCTGGTAATGCAATATTCTGTCTCATACTGCAGGTGTTTATATATGTAAAACGGTGTCATCTAAACAGCTCTACAAATAAAAAGGTCCTTATTTTGTCCTTCTTTTCTTTATTCCATCCATCACCTAGTACTTTGTTTTATAAATAGTAGGAACTCAGTAAATATTTTATTGAATTAAATAAGCTGTAATTCTAATCTGTGTATAAGTTTTTTTGGAGTCAGAGTTTCACTCTGTCTCCCAGTCTAGAGCGCTATGGCACAATTATGGCTCACTGCAACCTCAACCTTCTGGGCTCAGGCAATCTTTCTATCTCAGCCCCCTGAGCAGCCGGGACTGCAAGTGCATGCCACCACTCCTGGATAATTTATTTTCTTTGAGTAGAGAGACACAGTCTCCCTATGTAGCCCAGGCTGGTCTTGAACTCTTAGTCTCAGGTCATCCTCCCACAGCCTTCCAAAGTGTTGGGATTACAGGTGTAAGTCACCATGTCCAGTCGGTAATTGTTCTCATTTCTCACTCTCCCCAGCCCCTGTAACCACTATTTTACATTTTTAAAAAAATTTTTTTACTTTAAAATGAGTTTCTGTGAGTTTGACTATTCTAGTTTCTTCATGTGGGTGAAATCATGACTGCCTTATTTCACTTGGGATAATATCTTACAGGTTGACCTATGTTTCACATATGACAGAATTTTTTTAAGACTGAATAATATTTTAATGTATGCATATACCACATTTTCTTTGTCCACTCATTCAGTGAGGGCATTTAAGTTGTTTCCATGTCTTGGCTATTGTGGATAACGCTACAATAAACATGGAAGTGCAGATATCTCTTTGAAATCCTGATTTATATTCTTTTGGATATATTCCCCAAGTGGGATTGCTCGATCCTATGGTAGTCCATTTTAATATTTTGAAAAGACTACATACTGTTTTCCAAAGCAACTCTAGCATTTTACATTTCCACCAACAGTGTATAAGGGTTCCAATTTCTCCACATCCTCGCTAATGCTTGTTATTTTTTTTATAGAAATAGTCATTCTGACAGGTGTGAAGTGATATCTTATTATGGCTTTGATTTACATTTCCCTTTCCCTGATGCTTAGTGATAATAAAGACCTGTTAAACGGCCACCAAAGCCAGCTTAATGGGGATCCCACTGACCATACTGGGAGTAATTTGAACATGAATATATGCAATGAAACAATTATAATTCATTGACTAAAATAATAAACCATGACTCTAAAATGATACAGATGAATAAATAATAAAAAAACTTGTATGAAGAATAGGCTATTTACACAGTTTGAAACTATGTTTATTAATTTAAAATGAAAAAATGTGACTTCTAAGTAGAGAATCTTGATTTTCACTTACTTAATAAAGTGATCAAACAAACATGATTAGAAATGATAATTTAGAATCAGGTTCCTCTTGATAGCATGAAATGAAAAACACAGCATCCCTTCCATCCCACCAACAAACCATAACATGAATTTAACCATGAAAAATCATCAGAACTACTAAAATTTAGGAAGATTTAACAAAATAACCGGCCTGTAATATTTCAAAGTGTCCATTTAATAAAAAAACAAATCTGAGGGACTTTTCTAGATTGAATGAGATTAACAAGAAAGCCAATAAATGAAAACTTCAAAATTTGAGTTAGATTCTTCTATTATAGTATAATTGATTGACACATGAAAAAATATTTAATGAGATCTGTGGATTAGGTGGTAATTATGAATCAACACTAATTTTCTGATTTTTGATTATTTCTTTTTTGGTTGCATAGGAGAATGTCTTTGTAGGAAATACAAAGATATTTAAGGGTCATAACATTTGTGTCAGCAACTTACTATCTGATGGTTAAAAAAAGTTACTGTACTTTCACTTTTCGGTAAGTTTAAGAAAAATAAGAAGAGAAGAATTTGGGGAGAAAAAATGGCACTCAATCTTGCATGGAAAGATAGATGAGAGATGGTCAAGAGGAAAGTAAGAGAAATTATGTAGGTCATGGAAAAAATTGAGATAAGAATTTTCAGAGTTTCTAAATGGACATTCATATTGGGTGATCAGTCACTCTGAAGAAAACAGCCTCTTTAGGAACAATGTTCTTGATCAGATGGGAGATGGGAAGGTAATAGGAGGTAAGATAAGGTGAAGGGTTCTCTAATGCTTCTCCTATCCTTTATTTC